GACAACTAAAATACCTTCACATTAGTTTATTTCATATTATTCCAAATATACGTGAAAATCTAGAAGACTAGAGAAAGAAGACCAAACTCCTCTCTTGTCATTGAACTATATAATATACTGGAGTGAGCCTTTCCCATAAGAATTAATATGTAGTTTGCGGCCAAAGGAATGTAATAGTAGATTATCTGTTTTACTTTTTCACATATACTACCGTTATGGTGGGCGATATTAAAAACTAAGAAAAACAGCAGACAGAAATTCTCGTCTAATATAGTTTTCTCTTTTCCGCAGTGGGCCACTTCCGCTCTTTTAAGGTTCACACTAGGATGTTATATAGCTCATTAAGTTATAATTACGAATTATAATTACAAAATCAGTTCATATAATAGTGTCTGTATAACCATAGTCAACATTTAATTAAACATTTGTAGATGTCGATTAATTAATTGAAACATAACTTACTTTGCATTAATATCATAAATTAGAAACGATTCTTCGGTACTAGCAGCAACTTTTGTTTTTGTAGGGTGTAATGAAATTGACTGAATCAATTTCTTGCTTTTATAAATTGGTTCGTTTTCTTCCGCAGAATCATCATCTTCAAATGTATTTTTCTGTATCTAAACAAAAACGGACTTTTTACATTTTACATTCTACATTAACATAACATAATTTCAAATTTTTTAATCTTACCTTTATTAAATTTGAAGAACTTGATATAATATGTTGCGTTGTTACTTCTATGTTCGAAACGTATTCACCATATACATTGGAATGTGCTTTTAATTGTTGAAGATTATTAATGTTATTCCGTGATTCAATTTTCCAATGCCTAATACTACCATCTCTACAAGAATTTTTGTGAAAAGAAAAAGAAATAAACATGAAACAATTTTATAAATAAATATTTACACGTGGCCGCTTATAATTATATCATTGCAATAAGCAAAGCTTGAAAATTGACAGCTGCAGGTTCTACGCATTATGTTTTCCGTAATGTTACCGTTCTTTGCACGATTACAAACTGAAAGAACATCATTGTCATAAAACAAAATTGTATTTTTAGTCATTTTTAGGCATTTTTTGTTTATTCTCATGTCTCTCGTAGTTTCTCTGGAACCTGCGTTATAAATGGTATCTCTATGAGCTATTCCACATTTCCAGTTGTAATGCGTAATGAATTTAGAATTATACGAAGATAATAAAGATTTACATCTGCAAAAGAAAACAAAATGTACGTTCTCTAAGATGACCTTATGTAAAATCGTGAATATTTTACGTACTGATAACATGTAAATATTAAAATATATTTTAAGAAGACATGCCTAAAAAATTAAATCAAATTTTGCAAAATTAAAAATAGAACAAAACGCTATGACTTAACGTTAAAATGTATGAAAAAAATTTATCAACGTATATTGTACTTTATTAGAAAAAAAAATATTTTTGTTATCTGACAATACTTTTCTATTAATAATTGCTTTGATGGGGACTAAGAGTGTGATTTTATTGATTTATTATGCGCAAAAGTACACAGAACGTCGACGAATATAATGTGCCAATTTCTGATAGCTATTGATTGAAAATGAAAGAGAGGGCACATTAGCGCTAATGTGCGTGTATGAAAGAATGGAGATGTGATGTAAATAAACCGCGGTAGAGACAGATAGAAAAATTATAAAAAATACATATACTGGCAAAAGTCGTTACTGGTAGAAATATAATACTGAGAATCATCTACGAACATGTGATTTTCAGACAGAGCAGGAACAATAATATAAAGTGAAAATTGTAAAAAATCTGTTCGACGGATTACAAAGAAAATTCAAAAATAAATTGAAATACTTACAAGAATTAAGCTATGTTTAACTTACCGTTCACGAAATTTTTCTGACATCTGATTCGTAACAAGCAAACGGTTACTTTTTTTATTTAAGACGTAGCTTGATATTATATCAAATTTTTTGCATACTCTTCTGAGTTGTAGTACAGTATATACATCACATAAATTGAAAATTATTTCCAATAGTTCTTTCGGTAAAATGTCTAGGGAAGACATATTTGTCTTTATAATTGGACGTTATCACACGAGAATATGAACACTGCAGTAGTACAATCGGTATGCGCACTGAACGCTACACTAGAACCTAGAATTAGAGTTGCTAGGACGATAAACCGGAGCCTGATCACTGACATTTATGCTGTAGACTGCTAATACCAGACTCGCGTCATATGTATATGTAACAACAAACTCTACGTATTAAATTCTCGCGCATGTGGGAATGATGATAGACAGCAGTCACCTTTTAATTGGTTAATGATTTAAAATGTTGTAATTATAATATAATTTGAATCAGAAGATTAAACAAATATAATTTATTTTTATTATAATAAATAAATAAGTAAATATATACATACATCTATGTATATATATATATATATACACTTATACCATTAAAAAATTAAAAATTAAAAATAGTAAAAATACAACTTTTAAAGTACAAACTGAAATATATAAAATAATTACTGAATTGTATTTATTTAGCAATGTTTACACAATTATTAAGTAATGATGCGAATCTAAAGAATATTTGAAGAATATTTAACATTTTTACATATCTTTTTAATGTTAAATACGGTCTGACAATTTTCGATTATACTAATTTTTTGATAGACTTTACCTCTCGGTTATCCAAAATAAATATCAGAAATCCTTATTTGATGGTTGAACTAACGAGTAAAATTACTTCTTGATAATAAGAATTTAAACTGTAAGTGATCATTATCAACAAATTACTGATATATATATTGATGCAACAGTAACTGATATTTATTGATGTTTGTTTCTAGTCTATCAGAAAGTTGGTAATAACCGGCCCTAAAATTTTAATCGCGTTTTTCTCAAAATTTAGTTTATGAAACTAATGTGCAACATATTTCTGTCAGTTTTGGTCTGATTAATTTATAATTTTCATTAGATTATTTTTAACAGTATGTTTTATTGTTATACGTACAGTCTTTATTTTATAACAATTTGTTTTTTAAAAAATTTTTTGTGCAAACATGCGTAATTTTTATAATTTTAAAATTTTTTAAATTTCGTACGTACGACTATAACACCCCTCAAAAAATGATATAATATGCTCAGATGTAAATACAATATATATAATTAATTATGAAAAAATCTGATAACAAGTAATATTTTATATGATCATATAAAATTACATATGTTATGAGATCTTTTCATAACTAATTATATATATTTATATCTGACCAATTATAACATTTTTTATTGGGTTTAAAATTGTTTCTTATCTTATACGCGAGAATAACGCGCACAGCACGTCAATTGTTATTTGTTCCATATGTAGGAATAACGAGCGTAACACGTAGTCTATATAAAAATTTTTTTAAAGAAACAAATATGTTGTTTTTATCAAAAATTATTTTTATAAATACTTAGACGTTGTTTATTGGACGGGTTGGACATACTTGCCTTTGAATTAATTGCAAACGCAAAAGATTGAAGATATTCTTTTTGTTTCGGACAAATAAATTTTGCACACGCTAATGTTATATTTTGAGAAATATGGATTTTTGAAGTAGACATATTACACACAAAAATATAGCATTTATTTTCTGTTTTATGACATTAAGTATATAATTTATATAAACAATCAAAATATATAAGTAGAAAAATTGTTAATCAAGTTTTTTTATTTAAATAAAATTGCTAAAATACTCTTTCCTTTGAGCGCTGTTAAAAGTGACTCCAAACTTAAAATTATATTGAATCACACCTCGTAGTTCTGTAATAGCATACATATAGAAGCTATCAAATTGCACAGAAAGTACAGGGTTGGAACGGACAAGAGATATTTGATACGTCTGAAAATTTTTAAGACAGTTAACAATAGGGTATTAATAAAGGTCATTACAAAACACATAAAATTTAAAAGTTATACAAACCCGAATGCAATCATTTACTCTTTGATCCCATAGAAGTACTGAACCAATATCAGTCCCTGTCATAATAGTATACAAATAATCTGAAGAGAAACTATGTAATTTAGGATTTTTTTTTAAGACAGAAGTATTCCATGTACGTACAAAGTTTGGTGTTCTAAAATCACAGTACCAAATATAATTAAATCGAATGGCCAATTAATGTCAACAAAAAGATCCATTACCTTGTATCCAATTTTTGAATCTGACGTTCATACAGCATGAGAATAGTGTGAGGATCTTCCCAAAGTAGTTGTGAACAAGTATTATCATTTATACGTTCATCCATTACCAGACAACTAAAATACCTTCACATTAGTTTATTTCATATTATTCCAAATATATGTGAAAACCTAGAAGACTAGAGAAAGAAGATCGAACTCATCTCTCGTCATCGAGCTATATAATATACTGGAGTAAGCCTTTCCTATAAGAACTATATGTAGTTTGCGGCCAAAAAATTGCAATAGTGGACTATCTGTTTTCCTTCCACATTTACTACCGTTATGGTGGGCAATAATAAAAACGAAGAAAGACAACAGACAGAACTTCTCGTCTAATATAGCTCTCTCTTTTCCACAGTGGGCCACAACCGCTCCTTTAAGGTTCACACCAAGATGTTATAGAGCTCAATAAGTTATAATTACAAATTATAATTACTAAATCGGATCATATAATAGTGTCTGTATAACCATAGTCAACGTTTAATTAAATATTTGTAGATATCGATTAATTAATTGAAACATAACTTACTTTGCATTAATATCATAAATTAGAAACGATTCTTCGGTACTAGCAGCAACTTTTGTTTCTGTAGGGTGTAATGAAATTGACTGAATCAATTTCCTGCTTTTATAAATTGGTTCGTTTTCTTCCGCAGAATCTTTAAATGTATTTTTCTGTATCTAAACAAAAACGGACTTTTTATATTCTACATTCTACATTAACATTGCATAATTCCAAATTTTTTAATCTTACCTTTATTAAATTTGAAGAACTTGATATAATATGTTGCTTTGTTGCTTCTATGTTCGAAACATATTCACCATATACATTGGAATGTGCTTTTAATTGTTGAAAATTATTAATGTTATTTTGTGATCCAATTCTCCAATGCCTAATACTACCATCTCTGCAAGAATTTTTGTAAAAAAAATAGAAATAAACATTAAACAAAATTTTAAAATAAATATTTACACGTGGCCGCTTATAATTATGTCATTGCAATAAGCAATGCTTGAAAATTGACAGCTACAGGTTCCACATTTTATGTTTGTCGTAATGTTACCGTTCTTTGTACGACTAACAGCTGAAAGAATATCAGTGTCATAAAACCAAATTGTATATTTAGTCATTTTTAGGCATTTTTTGTTTATTCTTATGTCTCTCGTAGTTTCTCTGGGACCTAAGTTATTCACTTCACGTTTAAGAGGTGTTCCATATTTCCAGTTGTAATGCGTAATAAATTTACGTTTATACGAAGGTAATTGTGGTTTACATCTGTAAAAGAAAATAAGACGTACGTTTTTCAATGCGATCTTATGTAAAATCGTGAATATTTTACGTACTGATAATATGTAAATACTAAAATGTATTTGAAAAAGACATGCTTTAAAAATTAAATCAAGTTTTGCAGAATTAAAAATACGACATAAAACTATGACTTAACGTTAATATCTATGAAAAAGATTTATCAACGTATATTGTACTTTATATATGAAAGAAAAATATTTTTTTATTTGAGAATTTTTTTCTATTAATAATTGCTTTGATGGAGCCTAAGAGTGTGATTTTATCGATTTACTTGTGCAAAAGTATAGAAAAGATTATAACGTTGACAGATTTAATGTGAAATTTTTGATAGCTATTCATTGAAAAATGAAAGAGGGGACACATTAGCGCTGATGTTCGTCTATGAGAGAATGGAGATGTGATGTAAATAAATCGCGGTAGAGAGAGATAGAAAATCTATAGAAAATACATATACTGGCAAAAGTCGTTACTAGCAGAAATATAATATTGAGAATCATCTACGAACATGTGATTTTAAGACAGAGCAGGAACAATAATATAAAGTGAAAATTGTAAAAAATCTGTTCGACGAATTACAAAGAAAATTCAAAAATAAATTGAAATACAAATAAAAATTTAGCAATGTTTAACTTACCGGTCACGAAATTTTTTTGACATCTGATTCGTAACAAGCAAATGGTTACTTTTTTTATTTAAGACGTCGCTTGATATTATATCAAATTTTTTGCATACTCTTCTGAGTTGTAGTACAGTATATACATCACATAAATTGAAAATTATTTCCAATAGTTCGTTCGGTAAAATGTCTAGGGAAGACATATTTGTCTTTTTAATTGGCCGTTATCACACGAGAATATGAACACTACAGTAGTACAATCGGTATGCGCACTGAACGCTACACTAGAACCTAGAATCAGAGTTGCTAAGACGATACACCGGGGCGATACACCTGATCACTGACATACTGTAGGCTGCTAATACCAGACTCGCGTCAAATATATATATAACAACAAACTCTGCGTATTAAATTCTCGCGCATGTGAGAACGCTGATGGACAGCTGGTCACCTTTTAATTGGTTGATGAATTTAAATGTTATAAATATAATATAATTCAAATTAGAAGATAAAAAAATATAATAATTATGGAGTAAGGAGGATCGAAGGCCAAAGCAGGATCTCAATTGCCAGAAATTTTTCTTCTTTAATCAATAATGATAATGATAAACGTTTTCATCGAAATTTCGACCATCTTCAGTATACAGAGTCTAATATGTTGTGCTAGTTTTCATTTAGTGAGAGTTAATTGTCTTTGTAGCATATTCGTCATTGTGACATTAGGAGGCTGTGTAAAGAATTGTTTTGTGAGATCAATCATAGCACTGATCAATTCAAAATCAAAAAGACAACCACAGTTGTGTTACGTTACATTAAAATCATATTTTGTAATTACACAATTTTATTTTCTGAAACATCTGAATCAAAGTTTGATATTGTATCTGTAAATCTAAAAATCTGCAAAACATTTAAGCATTATACTGAGAGCAAATCAAAAATAAAAAATCTGTTTTGATTCTTTTTTTGAAAAATTATATTTATGTGATTTATATTGAAAAATATTATCACCGGATATAAAAAACGGAGATTGAGAGACTAAAACTTTCGTTTTATTTTACTTAAA